TGCATTCAAGAGGTATAAATACTGAGTGCATAGAACGGGGTGGAGTGCCTGTATAAACAGGGAACGGTGCATTTGTTTTTGCGGCACAGGGATCTATTACCTGAACACATGGCAGATCATACCCGCAGATCCGCAGGGATTTTGTTACCTAAGCCATTAGTTGGCCAAGGCATGAAGAGTGTGACTACTGCACTCCAATCCTTTTCAACACAATGTACACAGTGACTTTTATACCCTCCCTAATCCCACACCCCCTTTACATTAAGCTCTGTCTCTCTGGAACAAAGCAGCATCTTGGTAAAGAACAGGCTTCACAGCAAGGCACAAATGATCTTGCAAGTTGTTCTAAACAAATCAATATAAAATAAGTGTACAAGGGGAGTACCCCGCAAGAAGTTGTGAGATACTCACAGTTTTTTTGTGGTCATTTTACATCTCGTACCACTCGCAGCGGGGCCTGGCAGACGCACTAGAAGTCCACACAAAAGTAAAGAACTGCCAGGGAATCGTGCCAACAACTCTTTATCTTTCTTAGAGCAAACATCTCTGACATGTCCTTGCTCTTCTACCTCTTCTACATTGCTGGTCTCCCGCTGCACAGACACGCCTCACTCCCCGCCCCCCCACTTGAGCTGCTAAAGAAGCAACAGGAGACTCACTGAAGTGACATATGTCCCCAAAGCCTCTCACTTAGCATAGAGGCGCTGTAAGCCTGGGACAATGACTGGGACAAAGGGGGCACCGAGGGCCCGCTCACTGAAAGGTAAAGATGAGCTTTAGAGGAAGTAGTGAGATTGGTCTTCTCTTAGGTCTCAAACCCAAAACTTCTGTTAAAATCAATCTCCACACAGTATCTTAAATAGGAAGAGACAGTTTTGTCTCAAGTGGTTCATGTGCCTTATTCAAATAAAAAATGACCAGCTTTAAAAAAAAAAAGCAATTTTATGCATTTTTAATATCATGTCCCAATATGAGTTTATTTTTTTTGACAGACAGGCCCCCATTCCATTCTGAAGAGTGAAGTAAGGATTTGCGGAATGAGTTGAACAGCAGACAGGTTGTTTCCTAATCTAAGATTAGATCAAACTCTACAACATAAATGATTGAGTCTAATCTAATCACAATGTTGAGCAGGATTATCTGAGCAGGAGGAGTTAATATGAAGTGAAATCAACATTTAAGACTAAGATGAGTTAGCAAAAGATCCTGCTTTTCTTACAAGACACGTCTATTTAATGTTATTAAGCCATATCAAGTTTAAAAAATAGCCTTACGCTTCAACAATGCCAGAGAAGGCATTAAAGCCTTTCACAAGAATTCTTTTGAAAGACTTTATTTTATCTTTCTTCTCTGTGAAGTGTATCCTTGGCACCTCTTGTTGAAAATGAAATAGATTGATTTCTAGGAGATGACCACAGCCTTAAATGAAATATGTAATTATGTCCAACCATCAACAGAATGTTTAGTATCAATTACAGACCACACTTTGAAACACGTTTTAGCCCAAACTCAAAGCTTTAAATGACCAGTAGCCAAGCATAGCTTATTTAGGAATAAAAACTTGACAATTGAAGTACAGCTTAAAACATGCAAGAACACATATTGCAGGGGAAATGTGGGAAGTGTTCAAACACTTACTTATAGATTTAAGTAAATAAGAATTATTTGTATTTGTTTCAGTAATTTTTCCGCTAGTAATAACCACATACTGTCCTACTTTTGGACGAAAGTCACAATAGAATAGAGAAAATACATTTTTCAAAATTTCTCCTACACTTTCCCTTTTTTCCATCTAGAATTAAGAGATGACACAAGCTAAAGATAAAAGCGTAGAGCGCATTGGAGATGAGAAAAGATTTTATTACCACTTACATGCCACTACATAAAGATGAGGCAGTTTTCTTTTATACCATAAACCGTCTAATAGCAAGAGGAACTTATCTGCCACCACCAGCTGCAACACAAATAGACCTGCTCGTACAAACGCATCCCAGGTTTGAGGGCAGGAGGCGGGGTATACCTTTGGTAGTTCATGGGTCCTTTACCTTGTTTAGGACACATGAAGAATCACTGCATTCTGTTTTTATTTACATTTTACACAGCCCTTTTACTGATTGTCCTGATATACTTTAAAAATTAACATTTACTTACTGAGATTTATATACTCTGGGATGCTAGTCTTGGGTCTATTATAATTCCACTGGGCATCGCCTTGGTGTAAAATCCCTGAAGAAAGGTTTGGAAGTTTGAAAACGGCCCATTTCGTTTCCACTTGAGAATTATTATCAGTTTAAATGAAAAATTAAGTGGAAATGGTCTTATCGTATTTCTGTGATTAATAGGCAGCTTTAATATTTCATGTCTTTCCTCCTTAGCATTCACACAACTGGATGCTCAGAACCAGCACGATGCAACTTTTATAAAGAGCTGCTAACACTTGCAAATACACTTAATCAAGTATACTTGTTTAGCAGCACCTGCTCATTTCTGACCTTACAATGGAAACAATCTGCCCAAGACTTCCTGGTTTCCGGCACCTGCTAGTCAGCACATAGCAAAAGGCAAAAACTGTGTTTTGTTTCTGACTTTAAGCAAGATTCAAAAATTCAAAAATGCTGCAAAAAATACATATACATGGCAAAAGCCTAACAACTTTCAACATGAAGAACAAAAATGGCAAAACTATGTTTTGTGTGTACAGGAGGGGGGACAGTCAGGACACACCTGCATTACATGCTTCAAACCACAAAACCTTTAAACAGCAGCTGAGAACACATGTGTAAGAATACCAACCAACTTCCAGCCAATCTAAACACGACCACAAATATCATGTGGCTGGGAGAAAGAAATTCTAACCATCAAC